TGTGAAAGGCAAAATGACCTTCAGGGATGCAGACGCAGGGCATCAGTTGGGTTCCAACCCTCTTATCAACAGAGCAAATCAGGGAGCTTTTAATCAACTGGGTCCACATTTATGGGGATGTGCTACCTGTCAGCAAGCCAGCCCCATCTTTTGGGATGACTGAAGCAAGGAGAATAAACCAGAAAGAGTCAGAACAGAACAGCACAGCCCCAGGTCAGCCAGGATACATTACCTGCCTTGTGGCATCTCCCCCAGTTCTGTTCTCCTTGGCTGTCCTGCGCCCAGCAGTTGGTTTGCTGAGTAGCCATTCCTCTCCAGTGGGCCAGTGCCATGTGTCTAAGTTGGAACTTAATTCTCCAGTTCTAGGAAATTGGATTAAGGGTCAGACAATACTGACTTTTATTTACCTTTGATTAAAACCAGCCCTCCTCCTCCTGGCCGAAGAGGCCAGTGTTGCTGTTATTTACTCTGCTGCCAAACCTGGAGTTCAATCCCTGCCCTGCGGCACTCAAAAGCCAGCGCAGAGGTGGGGGTGTGCAGCAGGCAAGCAGGCAGGGCTGTGTGGGAGGAAAGGGAATGATTATCCAGGCCACTAAGTCCAGTTTTTTTCTTTTGCAGTCACACTCTGGCTCAGCAAGGACAGGGGTGCTGAAAGTGCCTGCCCCTGTGACTCACAGTGCTGATAGAAATCCAGCCAGGGTGATCCCAAGCCAGCCATGTTTGCCCCCATGCCTGACTCTAGTCCTCTCCCCTTACCAAATTCCCACTTTCACACAGCTTCCCTTTTTCTTTATATCCTTTTCTATCACCCGTCTCTCAGCCTCCACCTCCACCTTCACTTTCATCCTCCCCTCCCTGCCTGACCTCCCTGCCTCCCCTTTCTGCCTCTTCCTCTCTTCTGCTCCCACTCCTTCCAACCCTCTCCCTCACCTCCATTTCTCATTCCCCTCATTCTCCTCCTTCCCTCTACCCCACCCTCCAAGCCGCTATTCCAGGACAATAGAGCAGATGGCAGGCTGTTTGTTTTATATGTCCCTTTGGAAAATCAGCTCAGCTGTTGAATCTGCGACTTTTGCTAAAAACAGACACTGTCCAACACTAGCTGAATATGACAGGGTAAAGGGAGGGGGGCATGGGAGGGCCCTTCTCTCTCTACCAGCTGCACCAAGACCTTGTCTGTCTGCACCCCACATCACACTTTTGGGAAACAGGTTTGTCCGAGAGCCCAGAAGGAGAGATCTTCCCTGCAAAGTAGGAAAAACACCATCACAGGTGGAGAGAGCTTGGGCAGCTTCTGCAGACAGCCTTACTCCAGCCAAAGCTGATGGTGATGTGGGAAAGCTGGGGCACTGTGGAAGGGGAAGACTCTTCTCAGCACATCAATTCTGCTCATTGCCCCATTCTGCTGCTTCTCTGGGTGTTCATGAAAGCTGACTTACGTGTGATATGCTCAGGCAGAAGACACGCAGCACAGAATAGAGGCTGATGCTCTTTCCAAGCCCCATGCCTCCTCCTATGCTACTGGGGGAGCCATGAGTGAGAAGCTACAAGCCAGCATTAAGTGTGTGGGTAGGTGAAGACAGTACTTGCATTTTTCTTTCCAGATTTCCTCTATTTCTGTTGAACCCCTAAGCCCCAAGGTACTGGTCATCAGGCCAACATTCATTATTTGCCAGCACAGACATGAAGAGGATGTAGATTTTGTTCTGGCTCTTTCTCTTATCGAACCACTTTCTTCATCTCTTCCTTCCCACGTGCTTATATCAAATATCTTTCAGATCTGTCACTTCATGGTATTTCTGGGCAAAGAGGGAACTCTGCTCCTGAATTCTGCCCCTCCCTGGCCCAAAGACCATCTTGTTCTTCCTGCTTAGACATGACAATACTGTCTCATGGATCATGTAAGCCCTCCCCTCTTTCCCCATCCTATCTCTCTTTGTAAGTAATTCAGGGTAGGCACCCTGTCCAGCACGAAGTACAAGCTGGCCTTGGCTCATAACCAGAGCTGCTGGATTCCCTGCCAGTGCAATTGCTGGGTATTTCATGGCATATCCTCCATCTGATACACCATGGCCAAAGGCACCAGCTGCAGATTCTCTCTGTGCCCCACTTCTGGGGGTGGGATGGCAAAAGCAGAGTTTCAGAATAGCAGCATCTCTCCCCATCCAATTGTCCTGTTTCTTTTTCCTACACTGCTAAAATCAACACTGTCTTCTTTTCAAGCAGCATCAGAAGGGTCAGGGCCAGCAAATCCACGTACAAAGCACACAGTTTAATTTGTTCCTGAAGTTCACTATGGATCAGATGCAGCTCCCAACAAAACCAAGGGAGGCTTGATCAAGGCACAGTCAGATGTAAAATCTGAAGAGGCTCCTTAGCCTTGCAAAATGCTGGAAGGCAATTTAAACACAAGAGACAGGCAAGGAGCTCATTCTCAGGGTCTGTAATTAATCACATACAGTTCAAATAGGGAGAGAGAGGAGTTCTCAGCTTTCTTGGAGTCCAAGCAGGATCAAGCAGGAAGTGACAAAAATCTCAGGCCTATAGGGGACAGCCTTAAAGAGGCAATGCCATCTGAGCAACAACAGCTCAGCTCTGCATTCCTTTAACCTCCCAGGTATTTGTGTAGAAAGTCTACAGGAAAAATTCCTGCATGAGCTGGTGAGAACAGGCACAATTACTTGTACATTTATGATGGTGCTCTTCTTCCTGGTCTTGTTTATATCTGTGGTAACACTTGCATCCTCTTCAGTGGAGCCATATTATGAGCATGATTTGGTAAAGAAGAAAGTCCCAGTTAGCATGAGATTCCATCTCTGGCACCAACTGCTAGCAGGTTCCTCCAGGAAGAACATAAGGATGGTCCATGCCTCTTTGTGACCATGCAATAACTGAATGGAGCAGTCACCTACCCTCCCTCAGCTTTGCATCCATCACAGAAGTGTGTAGAGCCAGCTGTCAATCTCAATTTCAGAGACTGAAGACAAAAGAAATAAATTAAATTAATGAAAGGAGCTGCTGACCCCACCCTGGACTGCCTGAAAAGCCTGCACTGTAAGCAAGGATAGAAGTATCAAAATTAAGAAGCTAAATCTGCTGTAAGGAATTGAGTATAACATTGATGAAAAGACATTGACTTATCTGGAGTGTTATTTAAAAAAAAAAAAAAAAAGAGGTTCAGGGCCAACCAAACCACCCCTTCCAAGGTGAACTGACTCACAGGCTGGCATCTTCAGTGGCACTGGTGAGCTGCAGTTGTCCTGATCACAAAAAAAGCATCCAGAGCTGGGGGAAGTGGGGAGAGGTGGGGGCAGGCAACACCCCTTTTCCTGTTCTTGCTGGGCAGCTCCCAAACACCATTTTCAATGCACAGCTGAAATTCCCATGCTCTCCTCCAAGGCCCTGCTTAGTGGTTTCTTTCCTTCCAATCTCCTTTCTTCCTGTTCCTATTTCTCATCTTTTGGCTTCTGTCTAATAAACTGTTTGTCTTTTGAAGGCTGCTTCTTTAGCAAGAAGCCTGGGGAGAGAGCTGAAGGCTGCAATCTGGGTACAAGTTGGGTAAATCCCACAGTGGCTTAAAAATCTGTTTTTCTGCGGCAGCAGAGCTGTTAAGAGGAGTTGGCACCAGAGACAGAAGCATTGTCTAATGTTGCTATTCTTCTCTCTCCCCTTCAAGTCTTTAGCAACAACTGCAGTTTCCCACCTATTTCAACTAACTTCTCTTTTCCCCCTAAAGAAAGGATAGTCATTAGCATTTTTTTTGCACTGTCAAATAGGGGTTTTCTTATAAAAATTCTTCACGCTAAGGGGAAAGTGAAGAAAAGATATTGTTAACATGAAAGCCTCACTTAATATTTTACATTTCAAATACTGTAACTGCTTTTTTTTCCCCTCCTCCTTTTTCTGAATTTTCAGTATACAGTTTAAACATCATTAATAGTGTTGGTTGCTATGGTGTTGGGCAGGCAAAGGTCTCTGTACTTGAAACCTTGAACTACACTTAATGTTGTACAACAGCAGGGTCATGCCAACACCTTTGACTTTGACCCCATTTTTACCAGTAAAATATAAAGACCATGTCTCTATTCCTTTTCATTCTTTGGAGAGTTTTTTGTGGGGTTTTTTTTTCCTGCAATAAGAAAAGGAAGAGTGAGCTAGAGAAAGGTAGAGATATTAAAAAAAAAAAAGAGAGAAGAAAAAAATAGAAATTTAATAGACCCAGTGGAACCTCTCCAGAATCTTTGTTACATCAGAAAATCATGAAAGAGAATAAAAAAAGACAGTCCCCTGAAAAGTTTCACATGAGATTGTTTCTCATTTTCCCAAGCAGCTAAACATTTTAATAAACAAGGAAAATGAGACTGTAAAACTATAGCATCTGACAGCAAGCCCCAGGGGCAGGAACCATTCCTGAAACTAATTTTAACTCATGTTTTAACATTGATCAGATTTCATGTGGTGAATGTCCCGTTAAGCTGTCTCTCTGTTCGTAGAGAAAACCTGGTTTCTTTTGTCGACTCTGAGAAGCTATTTTCTTTCCAGCATATTGTCGTCACTGGCATAACAGGATTTTTCTATCATTCGCTTCCCTATAGCCCAAGAGATGCCCTGCCCCAGACATCTCATCTGTTCTGTTTTCTTATAAGACAAGACATTTTCCACAAAAGTGACACTTAACTGCTCCAGAAACGAAGCCCAGTCTTGGTCCCCATGCAGCCACTCAAGGACTCAACCCATTAAACATCTGATCTTCAGACATGCAAAAGACACCAGGTCAATTCAGACCAGCTGAGGCCAGGATCTAAAGCAAGCTTTCAGTTTCTCTGCTTTGCTTTTCCCCAGGGAAGTGAAGCTGCTATACCAGTTTCCTCACATGAATCGCATTTTGCTCTGACTGTCACCAGGACATCTACAGATAGGACTGGCTTTTTAACTCAAAGTCTCTATTAACATCAGCTGAAAGTCTGAATGGGGAAAAAGGATATATCCAGGTAGTGTAGATTTCTCTTGAAGACTCATTTCTTCTCATGAAAGTGTATTTCATCTTCTTCAAACCCGACTGCTTGCCCTGTGGGGCAGGACTTCTTTATGTTGCATCTCTCTTCCAATAGCTGTGTGTCTGTTTTGTGTCGCATGGTTCCTTGGTGAGCTCAGCTGTGTGAGCCAAGTGCTTTGCACAACTCAAGGAATGGCCATTGGCATCAGATGGCCCCTGCCCCTGCTCAGGACGAATTTCCAGTTCAAAGGCATGTTGTGCAACAGAAGAAAGCAGGGGTCTCTGCTGCTACACAAGCTGATTATATGCCAGTAAGAATGACCAGGCTGGAAAACAGCTCTACAGGCTGCTGCCCTCTGCTTCTCTTGACATTAAAGTGCTCGTTCCTTTCTAGATCCCCTTTGCAGAGGTGGAACGTCTTTCTGATGCCATTCCTTTAAACCTCATGTGTGCTGTGTAGGAGATGCTGGTGCGTGGGGGGGGAAGGAGGTGACAGAGTGGCCAGTTTTCAAAACAGCAAAGCCACAGTGACAGTTGCCTTTGGCTCTTCCAACCCACCAGCAGCAGGCTTAGTCACATCAGCAGCATCAAAGCTGAGCAGTTCTTTGGAGAAAGGGCATTTGTCCTTTCATCTGGAGATTACAGGACCTCTCACAGATCCCAGCAGTCTGTTTTGAAATGCTCTTTAAAGAGAAATACCTGTTTGTGGCACCACCTGCCATTTAAAACAGTCTGTTTGCCTTCTAGCTTTCCCTGCAATGCTCTCCCCCAGCGGTTTAACTGTGTGTATAAGGACAAAATGATGCCAAAGTTCATTCCCCAGCAAGCAGCACTGCCCAGGTTTCACACCAGGCTCTCTATTGAGTATAGGACTCTTCACAAACATGCCAGAAAGCTTGTAACCTATTTGGGGCCTCTCCTTCTCCCTGTTGCACTCGGCAGGGACAGCAGGTAGGCAGAAAGCTCCTATTAGCCTCTGGAGTAAAGAAACGCAGAGATAAAAAGCTCTTTGCCTTGCTGTTTCCATTCCTTCATGACTTAATTTTTTTAGTCGGGGACAGAAAAGATTATAAAGCTGTAACCCCTAATCCGCTCCTGAGAGCTCCTTCTCCATCTCTTCCTTTCTCCTCTCTTTCAGCCAGTTCTAATCCTTTATGTCTCCTCTCACAGATAGGAGCTGGAGTCTAATCTCAGACGACAGGTTGGTAATTAGAGCAAGAGATTATCCTGACCCCACATCAAGAAGGTAAAAGGAGAGGAATAATGCAGCACCATACAAGATCAGACCCTCAGTGTTCAATCCAGGAACTGTCCTCATCTCCATCAGTCTTCTCCTGGCTCCCTTTCATTCTTCCTCTCTTGTCCCAGCAGAACAAGGGATTCCTGATTCTTTGTACTTCCTGTCAATCTCCCCTGTCCTGAGCAAGAACCACGCTTCTCCAGGATTCATTCAAGACAGAAATGGTCACATTCCATTTCTGTAGACCTTGACTAGGCAGAGACTCAGCAGGGCAGTGGCTGCAAGTAGGAAAAGCACAAGCAGATGTGGAGGAAGAGGCCCTGCTCAGAGCCCGGAGCGATGACATGCTGCCAGCCATCCTCAGCTGTGCACTGGTTACACACACCCAGGGACTTTCTAGTCAACGAGATGCAGCCACAGCACAGAGCAGCAAGTCCTCATCTTTACCAAGATGCCCAGCAGTTACTATTCGGTCCTTCATCTGCTCAGAAGGCATACTGCTCCCATCCCTTATATGTATCCCATCACAGATGGGAAGCTCATCCATGTGTCCAGCCCATGTTATCCATCTTTGGGACAGATCCTGTCTCTTGTCCTGTGTCACCAGTATTGAGCAAGGACCAAAAAAGCCATCACAGAGCCCCACGACCACTGTAGAAAAGGCAAAATTGAGGACACCAAGCTTCTTCACTGTCCCATCCCCTACAAGGTGCATAGGTATCACTAGGACCAACTGTAGCTGAGGCTCAGGCATCACCAGCCAACAGGCTGCAGGCACCAGGAGGTGTCGGGATAGAGATGACAGTGGAGTGATCGAAACCTGCTGGGGAGAAAGCAAAATAAGGTCAGGTAAAAGTTTTTACACCAGCACACAGCTGTAAAATGGAAGACCTTTTCCTCACATCCCATTCCACATCAGGTGCCCAACCTGCCCCACAGAGCTCAGGACTGGTTGTTCACTTCAAGATGTCTTTTCTCAGCAAAGCTAAGCAGACAAGCCTCCCTCTGATACCCAAATCCAGCTCTGGCCCATGGAGCCCAAGCCCACAGCTCACCCTGATCACAGGCAGGGAGATGGGTACTGCACTAGTCCCTGCTACATGGTTCTGTTGATGCTCTTTTCATCAACCCAGCTGCTTCCCATCCCTGCTATCTCCAGCCAGGATCTTCCTATCCGTGCTCTGCAAATAACAACTTTAGGTTTGTTCACTCAAAGAGGAGAAGGTAAATCAAAGAACAGTTTTGTTTGCAGTCAGCCCAAAGTGAACCTTTTTCTTTTTTCCCTTCAGTTTTCTCAGCAAAGCATAAAATGAAACAGCAAGCAGAATTTCCTTTCCTGAGTTTAAAAGAACATTTGTGTTCCTGTCCCTGAGGTAAAGGTTAGCTTGTTCAGCCTCAAAATGTGAAAAACTGCAATACTTTTGGATTAGATATTGTCCAAATAAAATGTTTTGAACGCTCCTTTTCCTCCCACTCATCCAAAAGGATTTTCAAAGTTTGTAAGCGTTCACAAACAGCTTACTGCTGGTGTGCACCTCACCCAATAAGCCATGTGACTGTAAGGTTTCTGTCCCTCACTCTCTGCCTCCTGCATGCTGCTTGGCTGCCCTCCCCTTCCCAACCTATTGTCTGAGGGCTCACACCACATGCCCCATACCTTGAGGGATCCTCTTGTGGCGAGAAGGGGCCGCTGAGCTCAATAACATTGAGTTTGTTCTCAAAGACACCGTAGCTGAGGGTGACCTACAAAGTGGTGGTGAGAAATGAGCAGGGAGTAGAGGTGAGTTGAAGAGCAAGGAACTTGCTTTGGGTGACAGAAAGTCCCATTCTGGTTCTTTCTCTGCTGGCTTGGCCTCTGCCTTGCATATGTCTCCTGTCTTCCTCCCCATGGAGGGTCCTGCTAGTCCTTTGCCTCTCCAAGCCCCCTACACCCCCACACAAGGCAGATATGGTGCCATGTCAAAGTCCCTTTCCAAGTCAGTCATCATTTCTGCTTGTCCTTGTGACACATTCTTCCAGGAATGCCCTCAATCCTTCCATCACTCCCCATACTTGTGCTCCCCACCACTGATCCCAGAACACTGTGCCTGGCAACTGTGCTGCAGGCAACATCCGCTCCATTTCAAAGGAGCGTTTGTCAGGAAAGCCTCCCCAGAAGAGCAGATGATTGATGCAATGCACATCAGTGCCATCAATGGAGCAATGTGCCTGTAAGTTCCCCTCCACTTCGCCTTCCTCACACACCTCCCTCTTGCTCCATTTTCCCTCCTCACCTGCTGGATGAGCTGAGAGGTGGGGATGAGCTGCAGGTTCTCCAGGTGGGAGTGGAAGAGCGCATTGGGCAGCAGCTGCCCACCAACTTTGCACTCAATGATGTAACCCACGGTGCAGTCATCTGGCAGGCGGATGAGCTCTGAAGTGGTCAGGAAGTTCCTGCCACTGGAAGAGAGTAGGATTGTGTGGGTTAGGAAAACGGCAGGGGCAGATATAGGCATCCACTTGGGTGGGAGATTACTGAAAACCAGAGTAAATCCTGGAACTAGGTAAGAAATCCCTGAGTTCCACCTGCAAAGATTCAGGAATGTGTTTGCTCTTTGAGCATTCGCAGCCATGCTGTCCCACAAATTGTCAGGTGCTGTCCCTGATATGTACCAGCTCCTCAGTGAGCTGATGCAGAGAACTGACAGACTTCAAAGAGTCACTTCTCCTCCTGTTTGGTGAGCAGCGCTGAGCCCCTGAGGGCTCAGAAATGGTGGGAGCACACAGCCAGGACCAGGAGAAAGAAGAAAGAGTTTTGCAGCTTGCATAAGCCATCGATGGCTCTACTGTAATGTAACACCACACGTTTGGCCATCCTTTGATGATAGGCTATACCCAATTTTAAGGCCTCTGTAACTGGAATCAGTTACGCAGCATGAAGCACTGTCTACTACAACAATGCTCAGCTAGTTCAAATGTGTTCTAAGCATTTTAAAAAAGCAGTGGCAGACTTTTTGCCAGGTTAGGCATTATCCTCTGTGCCACTTTCATTTTACACTAGATCACAGATCATCCTCCTCCTACCATAAAATGTGTATCACAGGCTTCATCTGAACCAGCCACCTGGTGTGGATCAGATCTGTCTTTCTGGGTATGCTCAGATCTGGTTACAGCTGGCAAAGCCAATGCCTACCAGTATATGTGCATACAGCCTGTGACATAACCTAGGGTATCATGGAATACATCATCTTCTTGTAGGCTGCACTAACACAATACCATGGGACATACCTCTGTTCTCCATGCATCAAGTTGAGGAAATGACAATGGCTACTCTAAGAAGCTGAAGAGGGTTTGGAGTGAGGGAACAGAAAATTAGCTTAGAAGGGAGCTTAAGTAAAGAGGCAGATGAAGGGGAGAGGAGATAGGCAGACAGGGAAAGCACTTAGGAAAAGAGTCAGAGGAAGCTGAAAGGGATGGGAAAGAATGTGGGGAGTAACCAAGAGCTTAAAGGAGAGGAGGAAAGGGATGTATATCATCCTATGATCATGTTTGCTTCTGTGCCTGCTCTTGCCTGTTTTCAGTCAAGGGGCAGACCTACCCACCACATCCTTCCTCCAGTCCCACATGCTTTCAGATGTGTAGGATGTGGCACTCTGCATCTTTGCAAACACTACATGTACAAATCTAGATCTGACACTGCCAGGAATTGATGTGCAGCCATGTTGCTCGTCCCTGATGGCTCCCATGCTCACCAGCTGCGCAGCTCACCTGGCCCACGGCACCATCTTGCTTGCCAGCTTGCGGCTGATGCAGAACCCAGCCCCTCCTGTGGCAAACCAGAAGCGCACAGATTTCTGGAGAGAAACACCAGAGAAAATCAATGGCAGAAGCTCAGATGATACTATACTCCCAGAGATGGTAATGTTGGAAACCTGGCTTTGATGCCAGGACAAACATGGCCCTGTTGTCATCCCAGACCCCTGCCTGCTGCCCAGAAGCAGTACAGCATTTATTCTGACCTCCTCATAATTGGAACGGCCAAGCTCCTGCTGGTATCAACACGTGGGCAGCCCAGGGCAGGCTTATCTGCTGTCAAACAGGCAGCCAAAGGCAGAGCAGCAATGTGAGACTCTTCCCCTAGGTTGATCAGATTTAGTCAACACCTACAACCATGTTCAGACAAGACTGGCGAGTTTTGCTGTTCAGCTGTTCAGCTGTTGCCCATTGCTCTTGGGACCTGTCTCTCCTTGCAGTGTGTCTACAGCTCATGAGCCAGAGCACCAAAACAACCCACTGGCCCCTGCACCACCACCAAAGGCTGTACCGTCTGGTTGTTTGGCAGTGTTTCGGAGGCCCGGATGGGTCGGTTCAGGCTGGGTTTCCCCAGGTAAACATCCCACGTCTCAGAGTAGGAGGACAAGAGCTTCAGGAGGGCCTGAGGGTTCAGGTAGTTGTCATCATCCAAATGGCAAAACCAGCTGGGGAAGATAGGAAAACACAAGAGGTTTGTGGCAAGGAAGGTGCCTCTTGCTCTCAGGGAAGCAAGAGCTTCCCACACCAGCTCTGCCTCACCTCCGGCCGCTGACCAGGAAGGCGTCGAACTCAGCTGACATCTTGCAGGAGAGGGCCAGATGGCTGTGCTCGGCAGAGCAGTTGGTGAAGATCACATGGTCACCTGCCAGAAGAGAGAAAGCACTGTCACAACGGAAAGCAGTCACAAGGACATCTGGGCAGGAAGGAAGGGGTTTGTTCACAGCCAGCCTCCTCATGGCCTCCCAACAGGCACCCCAGTCCATGGTGACATGGGTTCCAGCTTTCCCCCACCAGGAGATGAAACCTGGACAAAGCCAAGTAATTTGGCCAAGACTAGAAGACCTGTCATCCGCACTTCCACCCTGCTCGCTGCCAACCATGATGCAGAGGTTGAGGGGCTCTGTCATGGGCAGCTTCCACCCACAGCTTTAAGGCAGGCAACACCCTGCCTCCAGTTGCCTCTCCTGGGGCAAGACAAATACACCAAATCATCACCACCACAGCTCGAGGTCCTCCCACAGGAAAGGCAAGGGACATATTTCAATGGGCAGTGATGGTGCAGGAGAGCCAGCCTTCATGCCAGACCCCTTCCCAAAGCTGTGGCCATTCAGAGGCTGAAAGTGGTATTATAGGATAGATCATTACCCATTCTCCTTTTCAAGGCATCATCTTCTTCATCAGTGAAGACGTAGGTCTGAGAAAACAAGGAAAAGAGGTTACTCTCAGGAATGGACTGGTGCTGCTCCTGGATGCCCACTCCTTTCTTCCACAGCTGGACACACACGATATGGTTACTCCGACCCCATCCTCTGCTGCTGTAGCCCGCTCCCAGGCAGCAGTTGAAACAGCAGTTGAACAGAAGGAGGGCTATGCTCCCCCTTCCTGCACAGCACAATCATCAGCGCTTTTGTGGCTTCATTTCTGCCCCCATCCCACTGCCTTGGGAACAGGGGGCCCATGACACTGAGTGAGGGGGTGAGGAGCCCTGGCTTAGGTGTCAGTGGTAGAAAAATTAAAGCATTGTGGTTAAATGATGCTTGGATTAAAAGGAGAACATCTGTCTGTGTGTTAAGTGTGCATAGCCCCCCGCCACTTTCTGCCCCTCCTCCTCCTCCCAGGCTTCTCTAACCCCCCTCGCTGCCATTATGTGGCACATCTCCCCCTCTTCAGGGCCTGGCGAGGATCAGGGCCAGTGGAAAAAAGCTTTCCTCAGGCAGAAAATGAGCTTTCATGAAATCAAAAAGGAGTCGCGAGCGGTAAACAGTCTCCCCACCAGCTGCCCACAGGCTGGTTAAACACAGCACCTGCACAGGGACAAAGGGAACAAGGCAGGCAGACAACAGCCCCAGGAGCCATCGTTTCTCCCAAAGGCTCTGGCAAGGAGACAAGAGTCTCTACATCTCCCCACACCCACCCAGCATTTGGGAGATACATCCCTATCAAGAGGACACAGCAAGAGAAATGTTCCGTACGTGAAAAGAAGGCAATGAAGGACGCTCAGAGATCACCTGGCTCAAGCAGAGGCAGCAGGATGGTTTCATGGTCTCAGATGTATGTGCCACAGTGGCTTGGTGAACTACTCTCCCACAGCTGAGCTGCAGCAATGAAACATGCACACATTCCTACCTCCCCCACCAGTAAAATCTCTTAGTTAAAATCACTTTCAAGATAATCATGGGACAAGAAGAAATTAGCTAAGTTTCAGGTAAAAGAGTTGCTCTGGATCAGGGGACTATATCACAACCTTCAGGCAAGGCAGGGATTGTCAGTGTCATGGGATTTCCCTTGCCAGCATGTCAGTGTCAGAAATTTCCACTGTGACAAATATTTCATCTTAAGAAAAAACAAACTGTTGAAACTTTCTGACATTTTCAAAAACCCCAAGAAATATTGTTGCTGGAAATTACTTGCTTACAGATATAAAACCAACCAGAAATCATGTGTCTACCAAACATCACATCTGATTGACTTAAAATAACAATCTGCATCTTTTCCCAAATTTTCTAATTCTGAAAATATTCTGAGATTCCTACTTTTCTCTTGATGCAAGAAGGGAAATGTCTTTTTACAGACACCCAACATGTTTCTTTGGGAACCCAATGATGAAGGTACACTGTCACCATGAGCAACACTAGACTGTCCAAAATAACTTGAAAAAGGGAGTTATGAGTGTGGGGACTTGGCAAATCTGATTTTTCTGGCTCTTCCAAACTGATCTCCATGGCAAACCTGGTTACAGTACTCTAGAAATGCTAAAGAAGATCACAATAGCTCAGGCAGTTGCCTCCATCCTTGTCTCTCCATCCCTCACACCCCTGAGAGTGGGCAACCTGGAACAGCAGCTGCTGCCAGCATCCAAGTGACCACCACCATGTGTCCCTCAGCAAAGCCACACACGATGGCTGGGATGGAAGAGAGAGAAAACAGCCCTGCCTGGAGACCATTTGGCCCAGTTACGCAGTTCCTTCTCAAGGAGACACCAGTCACTGTTGTCCATACTAATGGAGTCTGGAAGAGATTTAGAAGGTCTCCTACCAGACCTACTCCACCTGCTGGGGATGTGGGAGCAGAAAAACACTTGTCACTTGTACCCCTGCAGGCAAATGGGCTAGACAGGAGTAGCCTCCCTCTCATATCCACTCTCCTGTTCTTCATCAGGGCCATGCAGGATCTCCAATCGTGGTGCCTCTGCACACAGACTGGGCCAGGACAGCTGTCAGTGCTACAGCAAGACAGCCAATCTGGGCCCGAGGAGAGATGAAGTACAGAAAGTGTCCCTCCATTCTGGAGTGGACAAGATGTCTGGCTGGGAAATGATGTCTGCTCAACAGCAGTGCAAGCAGTGATATGGAGCCACTGTGTCAAACAGCTTTGCCTGGCAGCTCTTCATGAACATAAGAGCCCATTCAATGGATAAATACTATGCTCTGAGACCTCCTGACCCCAAACTGGGGAAGCAGGCTAGCAAGGAAAAAATAGGAAAAGGAAAAAAAGATGTGGAACCTGACAATCCAAGGCCAGGTTCATCTCCCAGGCTCACAGGGTATCCCTTGCCTATGAAGAATCCCCCTCCAAAACGCAAATACCTCAGCAGGGTTACTGTTGTGTCCTACCCAGAGTACAGACTCAAAATCTACAATGCATTCACAACACTGAAAATCTGAAAGCCAGTTCAAGATGGGTCATTCAAAGGTTTCATTTAATTTGGCTGGATATGTGGGCTTCTAAAAGAGGGGGAGTTGCTAGAATTGGTTTACATTACCAAACAAAATGCCATTTCAGACCAGAAAGATAGACATACCTCCACCAAAACTACGGGGGCCAAGAACGTAAGTGACTCCAAGATTCTGTCCAGCCTAAACAATCATCAAAAACAACACTTCTATTTAAATTAAACTTTTGCTGAGGAAAAGGTCTTTTGCTAAAATGACTTTCATGTCAACCTCCTGTGGGGACTTTGTCATGGATCAGTTCTCAAGAGGCAGAGCATGGTCCAGCAAAGAGTGCCCATCTCACACTTCCCCATCTCTCACCAACTGCACATCTTCTCTTTAAGCAGTCAAGTTTCAGAGAAAATGTCTCTCTCTCAGTGTCTACCCCAACAGAGTCCAACACAGAGGACTTTTAATTTGGCTCCCATACAGTCTGTCCTAGCGATAAAAACCACAGCTGTTCCTGCCTCCTGTTACAGTCACCTAAGCCCGACCTATGAGGTCTGGGTTGCTTCCTCCAGGAGGACACCACGCAGGTAATGAGCTCTGAAGCCAGGATGGGCATCAGCAACGCGGCCAGCTGCTAAAATTTCCCTGCTGGCCACTGATGGAGAAAGACTCACTGAATTGGTCTCCCGCCTTGAATAAGGGCAAGTGAGACAGAAAGATGCTGGGTCAGCCTTAGGAGGAGGCAGTCTTTGTCCATCAGGACTTCTTAGACCTGGATCTCTCCAATATTGGCTCCTAAAACCTACGCCTCTCCATAAGAACTCAATAATAGGTCTGGTGCACTATCCCTTTCCCCACAACAGTTACATGAACTTTGCAAACTGAAAACTTTTTTTTTTTTTGCTAAGTGAGGTTTTCTGTATTGTAAAATTTTCAAAACTAACCTTTTCCCCTAAATTTCAAAAACCCCCTCAAGCAGGAATATATTAAAAAAAAAGGGGGGGGTTGACTTTCATGTACTTCTCTTTATCTCTCTTCCTGCTCCCGTTCCCCTTCTCTCAAAGCCATTTAGTAAAAAGAGCACAATAAAAACATGGAAAATTGAGGAGGGGAAGGAAAATGCTGAGCTTACAACAAAAATTGGTAACACTGGAAAAACACGGTTTAAAAATGAGTGATGCTCCCACTCTGTCCTTCCTTCCTATTTTCCTGCTCAGTCTGTGAAGGTTTACCAGAGGCTGGCAGCAGCATGGAAAATTCAACACCTCTTCCTAGGTTTGGACATCACTTACATGCCAAACAGAGAGGGTCAGATGAATATGGGGAGCTAGCATCTAATTCCTGTCATCAGCAGAATGGCCAGGTTTGTCAAACACATGAGGAAAGAAACTGTCCCTTAAAAACTCACTCCAAAGGCCCCAGTAACAATATCTTAATGCCAGTGCAGCCACGTGGTTGGGTTTGGTTTCTCCAAAAGTTGCTGGGCTGAGGTTGGATAGAGAGAAGTGCTTCTGGAGGAGGAAGCAGGGCACCTCAGATGCTGAGAGGGACATGCAGACAGGAGAGGAAGCGTGCTCAAAATAGGACACGGCTTCCTGTGACGACCGCAGCAGACCAGACAGTTGCAGCGCCATGAAGTGGAAAACCACCCTTACCCAGAAAACCCTGCATTGCTTCAAGCGCTCTCCTACCCAGTTACCTCCGCCCCCATCCCCCTTCCTCACTGAGGCCTGAAAGTGCCTTCTAGGCACCCATCACACACAGGCAGAGGCAAAAAAAAACACCCCTCAGGGCAGCCACAGGATTTCTTTTTTCTTGAGGAGCAGCTCTGTGAGGGAGGGAGAAAAAGCACATGGGCTCTGGGGAGTACTCCTGCCTACCAGCAAGCCAGTCTGCACAGCACCACTAATGTGGTGCCCCACATCAGCTCCTCCAACAGGAAGGAAACGCTTCAAGCACGGTTTTAGCAAAGGCTGGAAACATCAGACCCCCAGTTAAAAGAAATATTTTAAAAAACAAATATACACCCTCATCACTTCAAGATCATGCACCTAGAAGCATCCACCCAAGAAAGACAGGAATGGATTACACTGATGTGCTGGGGAGCGAACAGGGCTGACTCTAGGAGGTCTTCCAGGTCCTTCTACCTTGTTCTCCTGCCCACTGCACTCCACTTTCCCAGGGCAACGAGTGCCCAGGTGCAGTGCAAGCATCCCGATGGAGGGCCAGGAGAGCAAATCAGCGCCAAACCTAGCAAACTCATGGCACTAGGAGGTAGAAAACCACCCTTTCATGAAGCCCCAGAATGGTCAGTGCACTCAGTCTGGTGCGGCCTCTCTGCCAGCCTTTCCCATGAAACTAGTGAAACATTTTGCTGGGTAGCATCCCCCTTCCAATGTGAAAAGAAGTGAGAATTACAGAAAATGAGGCAAAGTACTGAGTGGGACTACAGTGCCATCCTCCCCTTCCTTTGGCTTTTATACCCCTACCCTGACACTCCATCCCTGCCCCATTACCAAACACCTTCTCTCTAGTTCGAATCCAGACGCTCACCTGCTCACTGGCCTGTGATATCCATGTGTCCAGAAGCAGCTCCATCCTGCTCTGGTGAAATCTCTTGGTTGTCTTCACAGCTATGAAAACGTCTCCAAGTGTTAGGCTTCTCTCAGTCCTGTATCCTTCCAGAGAATGGACTTTGAGGTCCTTCTGCCCCCTGCCACCAGCTTTCTCTGCACTCATTTTGCTTCGTTGCTCTGGCTTCTCCAACATCCCCTCCCTGAGCCTTGGATACCGAGCTGTTTCCTGAACCCCACGGTGCCGCACGGAAAGGAGAGCCACACTGGCAAGGAAGATTGCGGCTCCAGAGAGACCATGGATGAGCCGACGGCCCATGGCTCCCAAACTGTTCCCACCGCAGTCAGTATCCTACTGAACAAGGACAAACTCTCCCTGTACCTCCACGTGAAGCTGTCCACTCTTCTCAAAGCCTCTGACACAGCAGGATCAGCCAAGAGCAAGGTCTGAGCAGGGTGTAGTCAAGGAATAAGGGGGGTGAAGACCAGGAAGCCAAAGAGGCAGCAGACCTGGAGGATGCTTGTCAAGCAGGGGGAATTTTCACAGACTACAGAGGGCTCAATGACCCAGCGAGGCAAGGGACACATGATGGGAAAATACTCCGAGGCGACTGGCACGTGGCTAGCACAGCCTGCCAGGAGGAAAGTGGGCATCCCCGCTCCCAACAGAGAGACCGAGGGTCCTAGGCTGGGTGTTGAGGAGCCGGCAAAGGAGATCAGAGCCATCGGCGGGAAGTCTGGACCGAAGGCATCAGTTCCCCAGCAGACACCAGCCCAGCAATCCGAGGCAGGGGCTTGGGCGGCAGGCGAGCGGCGGACGCAGGGCTGCAGGAACGGGGCCGGGGGTCCAGCGTGCGGCTGGACTGCCTCTCCACCTGCTCTCTCCCGCAGCTCTTGCTCCCTGCCAGCCCCGGTCCCGCCTCCGGGCACGGGGCGGGGCGCCAGCCCCGGGGGAGGAAGAGGATGGAGCGGGGGGAAGGATGGAGAGCGGGGAGCCCTGGGTCTGACAGTGGGTTTGTCTCACCAGACGTCTCACCTGTGTCCCCCACAGTCTGGGACACCTCCGAGGTGACAAAGAACAGATCTGGGAGGACAAACCTGTTGCTTGACTGTTTTCCCCGCTCCTCTGTTTCAGTCCAGCCCGATCTCTGCAGCCCTGCTCAGCCCATTGCTCCTGAAGGAGGAGGGGACGGTGGCATTGACGTGGGCTCTGGTGAAGGTAAGATGCAGGGTCCTGTATTGTTCTTGGGAAGATCGTTTTTTACCCCAGGAATTCCCTCAGCCCCAAACTTTTCCTCTGGACACAGGTCTGAATTGCTGCCCCTGCCCTTTAATCCCAGCCTGCCTCCCCAAAGCAGGACAGTGTGTCCTCTTCTGCCTCCCCCCAGCCCCCCATGCCCCAGAGTCTCAAGTTGGGGTGTGAACCCCCCTTCTGACACCCATCTCCCAAACCATGATCCAGATACTCTCTGATCTTGAAGGTCCTTTTTCCTCTGCCTCCAGCCACACAACCCCCGCCCTCCACTCCATCTCACATTCCCACAGGATGCCCAAGGACATTCTGCTGCCCAGGTGACTGCAGAACCAGTGACATTCACAGGAACAGGTACACTAGATAGTGTGACGGAGAGCCTGCTGCCTCCCTTTCAATCATAGAATGGTCTGGGTTGGAAGTGACCTTAAAGATCGTTCAGCTACAAGCCCCCTGCCATGGACAGGAACACTTTCCACTAGTCCAGGTTGTTCAGAGCCCTATCCAACCTGGCCTTGAACACTTCCAGGGATGGGGCTCAGCCTCACGGCTGAGTTTATATCCCACCCAAGTCCTTGCTGCTGTAGCAGGGCTGAGCTCAGCAACTTGTCCTTTGTGGCTCTTGTGTTGTCCATGATGGAGCTTCCTTTTCCCCTTTCCTGGGCAAGGAAGGGGGGTGTCTCCTCTCTTTGGAAAACCCCAGAGACCCATAGGCACAGCAGCAAAATGTTACCTCCAGCTCCTTCCTCACTGCCCCCCTGCGCCATCGGACACAGGTGTGCATCTCCCCTGTGTCACCCTCACTCCCAGCCATCTGATTGCCAACAAGGGATAGGGATATCAGAGACCCTCAAAAGGTATGAGAGCTCCTCCCAAGACAAAGACCACCACAGAGGGGATTGCTGCATTCTGTTGCTGGTTCAGTTTGATATGGGGTTGATGATGACCATGCAGGTCCCCTTCACACTACCTGTAGGCCACCCTACAGAGCAGCCAGGGGGGTACAGAGAGACAACCAGCCCAGGAGGGGGATGATATCCTTACCCCCACCCCAGCTTCTCTGTAGGGGGACAGCAGGATGGTAGTGCTCTACATAAGCTGCCAAAATCAGAGCACCTCCTCAGGGAGCTGCAAGCTGTGGGCATCCAATCTCAGCATACTAAAAAAATAAAAATAAAAAGTAATAAGAAGGGGGCCCAGGAGAAATGGTGGGGGTGCAGAATGGCTCCATGTGGAAAAGGGCACCCCCTCCCTGTGCACATGTCAGACCATAGGACCTTAGAAAACTGGAGCAGGGCAGGGATCAGGGTCCCTCTGTTCCACGCTCCCACTGTGTGTCCGGATGTAGACACTTTCCAGGCACACAGGGAAGATTGCCCCACAGGGCTAAAACCATGTGCTCAGTTTCCCCAGGTCTCAGACACACACTTTCACCCTAGTCTTGTCCCTGGGTACAACTTTTTTCTTTTGTAAGGAAGAAACCACTGAATCCACTTCCCTCCCCCACTGTATTTCTCCAAGTCTCTCTCTAGCCTTCCCCTGAAGCAAGAACATCTCCAGAGCATCTCCCATATCCCTTTGGAGGGGCCCTGCAGGTTTTATTTTTAGATTCCTTTGAATAGTGATGCTTACATGGGGCAGGAAGGAGGAGTCATTCACCTTCAGGCCTTACATTACTGCAGGGATTTGAACCTGGTGTGACTGATCCACTGCCTCTATGCTCAATACTGGGATTGCTCCCACAGCTAGCCACTGCTCCTGAACCAGAAATTAACCTCCCCACGTGTTCCTGCCACACTCCAGCAGCCCCAGGCAGTTGCAAAGGCAGCTTCCATGGCTCCCAGGCATCCTGCAGCACTTCCCAGCCTGGCTTAGGAGATCATCTGGGAGGGAAAGATGGGACAGAGGCAGAGGAGCCTTAGTGATGTCCCCAGAAGATGTTACAAATATAATTCAAAGCTACCTTGTACAGAGCATGGTGCCAGAAAGCTCTGCTGGGACAGGGGGCCAGCATGGACAGGGCTGGTGACTTCCCAGGGTGACACACATGCTGCCATGCCGATTCCCTCTCTGGAGGGAAAAATAGTGTTCTTGGTGACTCTTTACAGAGGCTTGCACAAGGCTGTTACAGCTGGTAATTGGTGCCCAGGGCTGCTAATTGCATTCTGCCTGTTACCTAACCCATGACTCATTCCTCCAAGCAGGCAGCCACCCCCCCAGAAGTACAAAGAAGGTGGTTTGGGGCGTGCAGGGCAGTGGGAAGGCATTTATGTTTGCCTTGGAGCCCTCTGCCCCGCTTCTCACCTGTGTCCAGAACAAATTAAAGCTGGATTTTGAAAGCCTCGGGGAAGACAAATTGGATAAAGAGAGAGCCTGGAAGAAGCCAGGAAGCAGGCAAGGCAGTGCCTCCTGCTGCTCAGCTACCTGAGCAGTGCCAACCTGCCTCCCAGCAACCTTCTTTTGCCTCCCTTTCCCTCCAGCAGATGGCCCAGGGAGGTGCTGGGGGACATGTTTCTTTGGGTACCAGCAAGTGCTAAGCTGGGAGCACAGCCTGACTCCCCAGAATGGGAGGGCTGGCTTTTTACCACCTTCAGCCTAGGCTATAGGGTTGGGGCTGGCTCTCAAGTGACAGCAAGGCTAGTTGGAATTTTCAAGCCCCAAGTCAGAGTGCCTCATACAGAGTGTTTTTCCTGGATACTCAAGCACTACGCTTTTTCCTGCAAAGTTGCAAATTCTAATCTCCAAACCCATGACAGGATGGATGGGAGCTTGTTTTGGGACTTGTCTTCTCATCAGCTCAACAAGAGTCCCACTTTGTTTGCCTGCAGGGTAAGTACCCTCCCAGGGGGCTGGCTGTGCTGGGATGCTCAGGCTGCATCCCCCGGAGTGGGTGCCACTTGGGAGCTTTCATCTGGAGCTATGTGTATGCCAGTTCCCCCTTCCCTGAGAGGAGAGTTGCATGGCTCCAGGGCAGACCTAGGATTTTGCTCTACATTTTAGTGACTGCAAGTTAAAATCTTCGTTTTCTTTCCTCCCCCCTTCACTGTCGTCCTCATAAAAGACACAGGCAACTGGTTTAGAGCCTGAAATAACACCTCACAGGGGACTCGTGAACATCAGCAAGTTAATCTTTGCTCAGAGCTTTAAAAGTGCATGGCACTAGCAGTGCCAAATCACAGGGGCAAGGAGGACACAGAGAGGACTTGACTCTGGTGCTGGTGCCCATCTTCTCCCATTAACCTCAGAATCAGTGGACCCAGCTCTCTGCCTGACCACACGCCCCACGAAGTCTCACAGAGCCACAGATTTCATTTTCTTCTTGCATGCCTCAGGAAAGATCACCTACAACCACCTCTCCGCAGCATGGGTATCCCGGCACCCCTATCCCACAGTGGGTCTGATAATGGCAATTGGTCAGGAATCATAGGTGAGCACTGCTGCAGCTACCCAAACCCTCTGTCTTCCCTCTGCCAGTCTGAACCCATGCTTGGCCCCGTGTTAAGGTGAGAACCACCTCTTTCAGGGGCACCATCCCCCCTTCTCTTAGCAGCCTGGCTGGGCTCAGTCTCCCTGTTGTCCCTCAGGAGGATGAGGTAACTGGCTCGTCACTTAACACTAATCAGGGCATGGAGGGATGTGAACCTCTAGGGACTCAGCCAGACACATCAAGTGAGCTTTTCCCTGACTTTCCTAAAGTAACCTGGCCAACGTCAGCGCTGGGGAGAGGCAAGGGACTGAATGCCAGGGAGCAAGTAGAAAAGAGAGGGGCCTTAGTCTGTGGCACACTTAGCCTGTCCTCTGCCCACACCTCTTGCTGCCCTACCACAGCAAATTCAGTGCTCCCTCCTTCCCCTAAAGGGCTGGCCTAATGGAGAAGAAAAATATTCCATTGTGCATCAACCATACCTTCCCAGTAACACACAAGCCCACAGCCTGCCACCCATTCCCATTATGAATGGTATTTAATTCTCCTTTACACACGGTTTGCCAATAAAAGGCTCCATTAATAATTTACAAGCAATAAAGAGTACAGCTCCTATAAAATGAGGGTTTGTTGCAATCTTAGTGTCACTCCAGCTGCAGTGAGGCATATAAGCCACGCTCCCTGTGCCCTGGGGCCAGAGGTGAGGTAGACAGGGGAAGAAGGAAGGCAGAGCACACAGTGCCACAGGGCAGGGGATATGGTGGCGATGGGAGAAGGACTTCAAATGTGTGTGAGAGATGCTCCTACACAGCCTGATCCCACACTTTTCCCCTGCGTTCCCTATCTGTCAATCTGACCACGTACCAGAGACAAGGGCAGCCCAAGGTAATGGGGAGCAGCCCAGGAAAGTGGCTTCCACCGTGATGGCAGAAGACATCTCTCCAATAAAATACAGAAGGCTCAGATGGGGGAGGCAGTACGTGTTACTTCCCAGTCCTTGGTGGCCCTCAAGGGACCAGAAAAGCTACCCTTGGGGGCCTTTGCTGCCAGCATCCCCTTGAGGGAGAAGAACATGCTACCTGGAGGGGCTCAGGGAGGCAGGGACCTCCGAGAACAGCTCTTAGGGACAGTAGCTGGCAGTACCCGCTCTGCTACCCCTAGCTCAGTCGTTGCCCTCCTCAATCCACAGCGGGCGGGTTTGCTCCTGAAAGATGCATCCACGAACAACCTTAGGCAGCTCCTCAGCATGGGTCCAGGCATGGGGCTCCACACGGGCCCAGGAGCACGGCAGAGTGTGGAGAGCCTGCTCCACACCACGGCACACCTTCAGCACCTCAGAGTCCCGCTGGCCCGCCTTCTCCAGCAAGCTCCTGGGGAAAACACAGGGACAAATGTTACCCTTGGCACAGAGAAATGGGGTGACAAAACCACCCAGGAACTCCCTCACATGTACAAAAAGCCAGTTTTCCTGCCTTTGCTCCCCTCATAGCAGCCAACCCCAACACACATATCAAATGCTCTCACCT